GTCCGCAAACCGACGCTCTACCACTGAGCCAAACCTGCTTCGGCTCTTTTTGTTTTGAGAAAAAGGAAGGGAGAGGAAAAGGGAGGGAACATCAATTTGTTGTTCCACTTATTTAAGCATTCTTTGGTTGATTCTTGTATATGCTCTGACTGGAATCAAACCTGAACACTTGGCATATCAGGACAATGCTCTAACTAAGCTACCCGGGTAGGGACTATTAAGCCAAACATTAAAGAAAGATGCAAAACTTTCTACTCACTATTTTTTAAAGAATATTTATTTCATAAAAATATTGTTAACATGTAATGGGTTGTTATTTTTAATTTTAGAGAAGGTAGGAGAGTGAAAGGGCGAGGGAAAGGTAGAGAAATACTGCTGCGATCAACTAACATAGACTGGTTGCTCCCACATGAACCCCAATCGGGGACCGTACCCATAACCTGGGCATGTGCCTTGACTGACTGGGAATTGAACAAGAGATCTTTCTGTACACGGGACAACACTCAACCAATTGAGCCATATCAGCCAGGACAGGTTATTGTTACTTTAAGTGAAATACAGTATTTTTGAAATGTTTCACATCTCGAATTTGATAAATATTGATATAACATATAATCAAAAGCTCTTTGGGATTCTCAATAATTTTTTTAAGATTTGTAAAGTAGTCGTAAGACTAAACAAATGATTTAACGGTTGCTCTGGAAATCAATACACAATTTTCAATAAATCAAAAACCTCACCTTAGCATTAATGACTAGTCTTTATACTACCCTGGCTCCTGGCAAGTTAGCTCTGTTGAAATTAACTTTAAGCACCTTTTTATTTCTTGTGGAAGTTGGGCACCTGGAGTATACAGCACAATTACTTCGACAAAAATGCCAACTGACTCTTTACAAAGGTAAAAGAACAAAAAATAAAATGACGCCATAAAAAAACACACACACTCATTCTTTAGTTGCTTAAAATTGGCTCAATCTAACAAAAAGATTAGACAATTTCAAACTGACTTTCAGTAACAAATACATTTATCACTCTAACAAGCTATTTAAGTAAAGAAATCTATATATATAAAGCCTAAGCAACCATTACGACCAGTTGACTAAATGACCGGTCGACCAAACAACCAGTCAACTGGTCACTATGACGTGTGCTCAGCCAACCTCCCGCAGTCCCTCCCTGATGGCTGGCCAGATGGTCAGTGCGCTCCCACAACCAACCTCCCACGGCCGACAAACCTCCCACGGTCCCCACCCCGGCCAGCATGATTGGCCCCGATTGCTAGCCAGGCTGAGGTACCCCACCTGTGCACGAATTTGTGCACTGGGCCTCTAATCCTAACTAATAAAAGAGTAATATGCAAATTGATCATTACAACACACAAGGTGGTAGTTCCCATGTGGACACAAGATGGCTGCCACAAGATGGCTGGCAGGGGAGGTCAGTTGTGGACAATCAGGCAAGCAAGAGAGGGCAGTTGGGGGGGGGGGCGACAAGCAGTAGATGCAGTTGGGGGGATCAGGCCTGCAGGGGAGGGCAGTTGGGGGGGAACCAGGCAGGAGTAAAGGGGACCAGGTCTGCAGGGGAAGGCAGTTGGGGGGGACCAGGCCTGCAGGAGAGGGCAGTTGGGGGGGATCAGGCAGACAGTAAAAGACAGTTGGGAGGACCATGCCTGCAGGGGAGGGCAGTTGAGGGGGGGGGGGGACCTAGGCCTGCAGGGGAGGACAGCTAAGGGGACCAGGTCAGCAGGGGAAGGCAGGAGGGGAGGGGGGGGAGGGACCAGGCCTGTAGAGATGGGCAGTTGAGAAGACCAGACCTGCAGGGGAGAGCAGTTGAGGGGAACCAGGCATGCAGGTGAGGGAAGTTCGGGGGAACCAGGCCTGCAGGGGAGGGCAATTGGGAGGGCCAGGTTTGGCAGGAGAGGGTAGTTAGGGGTGAACAGGCCAGCAGAGGAGGGCAATTGGAGGCAACCGGGGCCTCCAGAGTAGGACAGTTAGGGATGACCAGGCCAGCAGGGGAGGGCAGCTGAGGGGACCAAGCCTGCAGGGGAGGGATATTGGGTTGGAGGGACCAGGACTGCAGGGGAGGGTAGTTGTGGAGAGACCAGGCCTGCAGGGGAGAATAGTTGGGGGGGACCAAGCAGGAAGTGGAGGGCAGTTAGGGGAGGGGGCAGTCTGCAGGGAGGACAATTGGGGGGGGGGGCAGGTTCAGCAGGAAAGGGTAGTTGGAGCAAACAGGCCGGCAGGTGAGGGCAGTTGGGGGCGACCAGGCCTGCAATAAAAGAGTTATGGGTGACCGGGCCAGCAGGGGAGGGTAGTTGGGGCGGGACCAGGCAGAAAGTGGAGGGCAGTTAGGGGGGGACCAGTCCTGCAGGGGAGGGCAAGTTGAGGGGACCAGGTCTGCAGGGGAGAGCAGTTGAAGGGACCAAGCCTGCAGGGGAGGGCAGTTGAGGGAACCATGCTTGCAGAGACGGGCAGTTGGGGGAGGCCAGGCCTGCAGGAAAAGGCAGTTCGGGGGGGAGCAAGCCTGCAAGGGAGGTAGTTGGGGGGGAGACCAGGCCTGCAGGGGAGGGCAGTTGAGGGCGACCAGGCTTTTAGGCAGGCGAGCAGTTGGGAGCCAGCAGTCCTGGATTGTGAAAGGGATGTCTAACTGCCCGTTAAGGCCCGTTCCCACCAGGTTTGTGCCTAAACGGATAGTCGAACATCCCTTGAGGGGTCTCAGATTGGAAAGGGTAAAGGCTGGGCCGAGGGACACCCCTACCCCCATCGCCCTGTGCATGAATTTCATGCACCGGGCCTCTAGTTTTTAATAAAAAGGCTAAGCCAAACAAATTATTCTCAAAATCTATGCTGAACTACATTATGATTTACATATTGCATTAAGAATGAAGTTGGACCCTTAACTTATATCATATACACAAATTAACTCAAAATAAATAAAAGATTTCAATATGAAATTTAAAACTAGAAATCTTTTAGAACAGTTGAAAAGTTACATGACATTCAATTTGGCAGTGATTTCTTGGATATGACATTAAAAGCACAGATAAGTAAATTGGAGTTTGCTGAAATAACTTTTGTACATTTAAGCACACTATCAAGTGAGTAAAGAGAGAATTCATAGGATGGGGGAATCTATGTGAGAATTATATATCTAAGAAGGGGTTAATATCAAGAATATATAAATGACTCCTCAACAATAAAAACAAACTCAATTCAAAAATGAGCAAAGTACCTGCATAGACATTTCTCCAAAACAGATATAAAAATGGCAAGTACATGAAAAGAGGCTCAACATCACTAGTTAGCAAAACAAACCACAGCAGATACCATTTCACAGCCTTTATAATAGTTATTATTTAAAAAAACCCTCAAGTGATGTTTAACCATTGAGCTGGTGTTGCTCAGTGGTTAAACATCAAGCCATGCACCAAGATGTCACCATTTGGATTCCCAGTCAGGGCACATGTCCAGTTTTCAGGATGGATCACCAGTAAGGGGTGTGCAGGAGCCAGCCAATTGCTGTTTCTCTCACTGATGTTTCTCTCTCTCTCTCTCTCCCCCTCTCATAAATCAATAAAAACATATTAAAAACTCAGAAAAGGTGTGCCAGTGATGATGTGAAGAAATTAGAACCCTTATGCATTACTGTTGGGAATGTAAATGATACAGTCAAGGTGGAAAACAGTTGGGACAGTTCAACAAAGATCTACCATATGTCCCCAAAATTCTACTCCAAGGACAATTCCAAAAGAATTAAAAACAGGGATTCAAATAGCCAAAAGGTAAAAACAACCCAAGTGTTCACCAACAGATGAATAGCTAAACAATGGGGTGTTGTCTACACTAATAAAAGAGTAAGATGCAAATTGACCATACCTTCATGACGCCCACCAGCCAATCAGGATTATGCAAATTAACCCAACAAAGATGGCAGGTTAATGTGCATATGCAGGCATCGAGCGGCTAGGGGCAGTGTGGGACGCTTGCATTGTCACCATAGTGACAGTGCAGGTGTTCCGCACCCCCAAAGCCGTTCCAGGCCCCTGGGCAGCATGGGAAGGCAGAAAGGTGGCTCCGGCCAGAGTGAAGGCGGTGCCTGCAGCTAGGGGAAGGCAGGCCCATTCGTGCACAAATCTTTGTGCATCAGGCCTCTAGTTCAGCTATAAAAAGGAATGGAATTTTTATATAGGCTACAACATGGATGGACCTTGACAAGATTATACATAATGAAATAACTCAAATGAGATACCTACAATAGCCAAGTTCATCCTATATAATAAAGAGGTAATGTGCAAATTGACCATCATACCCTGGCACAAGATGCAGTTGTGGGCGATCAGGTCGGCAGAGGAGGGCAGTTGGGGGGGAATTAGGCCTGTAGAAGAGGGCAGTTGGGGGTGACTAGACCAGTAATGGAGGGCAGTTAGACATCAATCAGGCTGGCATGGGAATGGTTAGGGGTGATCAGGCTGTCAGGCAGAAGCGGTTAGGGGCTATCAAGCAAGCAGGCAGGTGAGCAGTTGCAAGCTAGCAGTCCCGGATTGTAAGAGGGATGTCCAACTGCTGGTTTAGGCCCAATCCCACAGGGACATCCGGCAGTCGGACATCCCCCTAGGAGTCCCAGACTGGAGAGGGTGCAGGCTGGGCAGAGGGACAACCACACATGCCTAGTAGAAACAGAAAGTAGAATAGCGTTTACTAGGACTGGAAGGAGTACAGGAGGAGTCATGAATTATTGTTTAATGGGTACAGAGTTTTTGTTGGAGAGGATTAAAATGTTTTGGGTTACACAACATTGTGAATGTATTTAATGTCACTAAATTGTATATTTGTATATAATATATATTTATTGAAAAAATGGTTACTTTTTAAAAAAATGACATTTATTTTTTGCAAGAAAATTTAATTGCCTTACTGTTTGTTAGTATTTTTCAAATAAAAATATTAAGAGTTGAGCCCTCTAAGAAAAATAATACGACTCACTGATAATGCTTTACTTACCCGTTTGGGGCCACTAAAAATCTTTCTGGTATTTTCCTTTGATTTATCTCCTTGTTTACTTGGGGGCTTCTTCACACTTTCAGGAACACCAGGCAAGTCTTCTGTAAAATCCAAGTTTTCTGAAATGGTAATCAAAACTATCTAGCTTTCTAAGATTTCAAATTATCTACCAAACAATCTATGGACATTTGGTGGGGAGGGGAGAGGGGCAAAAACAATAAAGGAATAAAAGCACCACACAGTTGATAAAATACTGCCAAAAATATTGGCTCATTCTCCCATTCTCACCCTATTTGTCACTTGTTCCACCCCCACCATCAAGAAAAAATTGAGAAACCTACTTGCTCCAGTTTTTATTTTGTATAAATGGCAAAATCAATTATTTTACAAAATAACTGCTGGATACCTATGAACACTGACATTGGTATGACCTAGTTTAAACACATACATAATATCAAGTGGTATCTATCTTAAATATTTTCTAGAATTTAAGGACACAATCATGTTGGGCTTCAAAGAAGGCCCACTTACATCTACAAAGATACATTTAAAAATAAAATTTTTAGCCCTAGCCAGTTTGGCTCGGTGGATAGAGCATTGGCCTGCGGACTCAAGGGTCCCAGGTTCAATTCCGGTCAAGGGCATGTACCTTGGTTGCGGGCACATCCCTAGTAGTGGGTGTGCAGGAGGCAGCTGATTGATGTTTCTCCCTCATTGATGTTTCTAACTCTCCCTCTCCCTTCCTCTCTGTAAAAAAATCAATAAAATGTATTTTAAAAATAAAATTTTTAAAGGATTACTATCTTTGGCAAAAGATACAAAATGACCAAATACAATGTACTTAAATGATTTGGGAAATATTAAACCTAACCAAAAGATCAGATTAATTCCCAGATAGCTATAAATTTTTATTTTCAAGCTTAAAATAGAACACAATAATAGACTTTTCTCCAGGTCAAAATTTTAAAATGTCTGCTACTCCTGTTATAATTATATGAAGACTCTAATTTCAACTCAAATGGTCTCTAATTTAAAATGATCTCTAGCTGAAACCGGTTTGGCTTAGTGGTAGAGTCTCGGTTTGCGGACTAAAAGGTCCCGGGTTCGATTTCGGTCAAGGGCATGTACCTTGGTTACGGGCACATCCCCATAGGGGGTATGCAAGAGGCAACTGGTCGATGATTCTCTCTCATAGACGTTTCTAGCTCTCTATCTCTCTCTCTTCCTCTCTATAAAAAAATCAATAAAATATATTTAAAAATAAATAAATAAATAAAGTCTCTAATTTAATTTTTGGTATCAACCTGAAATTTTTGAAAGGGAGCCTAATGGTTTCTCATTGTAAAGTTTAAAAAAACTACATATTCCAAGATGTAAACTTCAGCCAGAGATGCTCAATTGCAGATTAAGATAATTTGCTATCAAGGTTAGCATACATTTTTACTTATCACCCCCACCCTACCCTCCCAGAGAACAACTTTAAAGCTTATTGTCCAGTCAGCTCTCAGAAACTAGCAAGGTTTCTGCAATCATCAGTTTTCCAGAAGAGATTTAAGACAAAATTAATAATTCTGACAATACCATTTTATTTTATTGCAGTGGGTGATTCAGGAGTGAACCCTTAGAGACTACTCCTGTATAATTCTATTTTTAGAGATAAGAGTGATTCAAATCTAGCAAAACTATTTTTAGGCCAAATAAAGCAAAAAGATGGGTAGTCTTCAGTATGACTATGAGAACACCTATGTGGAAGAATACGATTAGAATTCTAATTTACCATGACACTTTATGACCCTAACAAAAGCTTCAAGAAGTGAACGGATACAGAAAAGCTATACTTAGTCAAATTCAAATAAATTTAGCTCCTGTAACACAGAGGCTTTCACATGCTCTTTCTCACTCAGCAGTTAATGCACTTCACAAAACCCTTGTCAAGTAATGATTTAATTACTGCAAAGCTAACCTATTCCTTTTGTCTCTCACAGTGGAGGCTATCAACTCTTTGAGGACCTCTAGTCATTACTGGTCCTACTATCTTAAAAGATAAATTAAATTTTCACCATTGAGGATGGAAAAATACTTTATCACTTTTTAATTTTATGAAATCAATTTAAGAGGGTAACTTTTTACATAAAGTTTTTTTTTTAATGCTTTTATTACTGATCTTAAGAGAGCGAGAAAGGAAGAGGAAGAGAGAAATATCTATGTGACAGAATAACAACATCGATTGGCTGCCTCTATTGGGGATCCAGCCCACAGCCCAGGCATGTGCCCTGACAGGGCAATCAAACTTGCAGCATTTGGTTGCCCGGGACAAACTCAACCAACTGAGCCACACCAGCAGAGGCTAAGAGGATAATTGTTAAGATTAAGATTTAATTAATATTTCTTTAGAATGTTTTAAACATTTATTAGTTGGTTAGTTTTGAGCCAAATGCAAAGGCTTTTTATCAATTTTAATTTTTAATATTTCCCTCATTACAGCCATCCATTACAAGCATGTCAAACTCAAAGGCTAAGATGGGCCAAATAAACAAGGTTTAAGTTTATGTGGCCACAAAAAACAAAAGCTTCAGTTTTCATAGAAATGTAGAGATATGCTGAATACAAAAGGCTGAAATAAATAATTATTAACATAAAATAGAATATTTTAATAAAAATTAATATTTTTTCTTGAACATTAACTTAAACGACACTGAATAACTGCACAAATTAATAAGGGTAACACAAATAAACCTATTTTTCTTGTTCTCCAAAAGCAAAATATTTCCTGTTGTGTACACCCAACAAGTCAGTCCAAGACTAATGGTGTAGCAGTCGGCTGCTAAAACATTCGCTGCCAGTTATTAGTGGCGAGAAATGATACTCCTGCGCATAAGGCGCGTAAGGGAAAGGAATTCAACACGATTATAGTTATCAGTCATTAGCAAACATTGTAGTTCATTATCAAGAGTTATGTATGACAGGATACTATAAAAATTAAGTTATGAAATTTTTATTAAAATGTTTCTTACATACCATTATATTTGCTTGGCTGCAAAAATATTTGTTGTGGGCCACATGCAGCCCATGGGCTGCGAGTTTGACATGCTTGATCTGCACTATGTTTAATTCTAAATGTACAAAATCTATCCTTGTCTCAAATCCCAAACACACACACTTTAAAATTCTCAAGTGCTAATAGAATTAATAAACAAATATGACGCTGGCTAGTGTGGCTCACTTGGTTGGGCATCCTCCCATGCACTGAAAAGGGTGCAGGTTCAATTCCCGATCGGGTCGTAAACCCAGGTTGCAACTCAATCCCCAATAGGGGGCGTGCAGGAGGCAGCCAATTGAAGTTCCAGGTGTTTCACTTTCACATAAATGTTTCTCTGCCTCTCAAAATCCATTAAATAAATAATAATGAAAAGATTCCAAAATCTACAAATTGGCTCCTTACAATGTGGAACTTAACATTTAAAATGTTATACCTTTGAATAAGCTAGTCTGTAGTTCTAAATAGTACTTCTATTAAAATTAAATGTAAGTTAAAACTGAGTATCTAGGAGGAAACTAAGTAGCTTAAGCCTGAAAAGCACTTAATACAAAAATTTTTTTAAGTCTTACCTGCGTTATTTGTATTAGACTGACTGTCCCGGGAATTATTATTGCTTTCTGGAACAGGATGCAAGGAGGATGGAGCTGTTTTTCTTTTTTTGCTTGTCTTTCTTTCCACTTGACAGTCATCATCTTCATCATCTTCACTTTCACTGAGATCATCAAAGCCAAAATACTTAATTTTGTAATTAGAACTCCCTGAACCCCCTTCATCACCTCCTGTCTCATGAGCTTCAAAACCAAAAAATTCAAGTTTAACATCCTTTTTGGATTTAGTATTACTAGGTCGAAATCTAGTAGTGGTTTTAGAAGTTGCAATATCTGCCTTTTTTCTTAGGCGGCCAGCTTCCCCCAAATCGGCAGGAGTTGATGCAGTGAACTCATCCATGCTGCGTTCCATAGTATCCTGAATGGTAACATTACAAACTGACAAGCAAGATGGATGTAAAACAGTGTAATCTCTAGTCCGTCCAACTGTCCCTCTAAAACTGGTCCCACAACTTACACTGCCTTTCTTTGCCTGATTCAGGCCATCTTTACTTGACTCACTGTTTGCTTTGGCTAAGGCCTGACTGGTGCCATCTAATAGCTTATCAAAATTGGATGTTCCTTGTGAAGATTTTGCTTTATTGACCCTACAGTACGTCCTACAATTGCTTGGCCTAAGAACACTTTGCATGATGTCTTCTTCCTCAATGGCTTCGTTTGGGTTTTCCAACCGACTTTTTAAATCCTCATCCTTCATTTCCAAAAGAGGATCACTATCCAAATTTAAGATACAATCTTCTGATCTGACATCTTCGAAATCATTATCCCACTCATACAAACCAGTTCTTACAGATCCCTTAATCAGAGATATTTCTGATGGAGATTCTAACCTTCTTCCAAGTTGGGAATTCCATGTATCATTTGTTTCCTTGATTTCATCAGCTTTGTATCCAGGAGCCACTATAGTTTCTGCATTGGGTTTCTTAGTACTGTCTTCAGCATTTTTGTAAATATGGTGACTATCCTTTTCATATTCGTCACTAAAATTCTCCACTTTATCTATAAAAATTAAATGAAGAATTAAAAGCGAGTGACATCAAAGTAAAAGTTAACAAGTAGTAACAGTTTATGTGGCTAATTAATACCACAGAATCAATTAACCTTGAAATGATTGCAATAATTTTAAATTAAGACATTAATGTTTACATAGTTGACATTTCTCCTTATACCTTTTATATATATCATGTCTTCTAGTGACCTCTTCCTAGGCAACCAAGTCCCTTAAAATTATTACCCTAAATTCATGAGATTTCAGTTGCTAAGCAACTGGATCAATTCAAAATGACACTTAAATGACTCAGCCAAACCTCATAAGTATAAAGAGTTTTTCAAATTAAAAAATGCTTAAATTAAAATGTATTTAGAATAAAAATAGAATAGCACAATGAAAACATCCCAATGTGTCTGTATTTCTCTGGGATAAGACTGCCCAGAGACTGATCAGCTCTGTCTAGAAACTTGTCCCAAGATCAGGCTTCTTTAACTATTTCTGCTGTCCATTCTTTCTTCAAATCTTAAAAGCCATAGGACTTCAATAGTTTTTTGCGTTTTTTTAAACAGTGGTTCTGAGGCCCAAGTTAAGTGACTACAGTAGTTATTTATGCATATCAGTCAGGAGTAAATCTTAAACTCCCTATTCATTTTGTGCTTGAAGAATTCATTATTGTTATCTTTAGTTTTTATCATCAGAGACATTTTTGTTAACTTTTCTAAATGAGACAGAAGTATGACTCAAACTGGTATTATGATTAATTCTCCCAGGACTCATTGATAGAAAAACACTGGCAAATATCTATGCCAAAAAATAAAACTCGTCCTGGCTCATGGGTTAGATTCCTGGTCAAGGACATGTACCTAGGTTGCAGATTAGATCCCCAGCCCCCATCAGGATGTGTGTGGTAAGAAACCAATCAATGTGTCTCTTTTATAACGATCTTTCTTTCTTTCTTTCTCTCTCTCATACTCCTTTCCCTCCCTTTCATACTCTAAAAATCAACAGAAAAAAATATCCTCAGGTGAGGATTAGGAACAACAAAAGCTACCTACAACTGTTAATGTTATCCAATGGGTTTAAATATAATTTAAGATTTGTATTTACTTACCTTTAGAAGGCATCTAATTTACAGGTATAACTGTTTTATTCTTAGATATTTCCTAGCTGAAGGCAAAAGGAACTATAGTTTTCATAATCTCAGAAGTACCAATCATATAAGTATAAAATACTAAAAAACAAAATTAAAAGCTATGACATCTCTTACTTTTAAAAGGCATGGAAGCAAAACTTAGTATAAAAATCAAACCTAATAACTGCTTTTATAACAAGTGGAAAGAACTCTGATAGCTGAGACTGGAAACTAGTATTGCTCTGGTTAAACTAGTTCTTTAGAGCTCAGGCAATACCCCTAACTTAGGGAGTTTTCCTGAAGGCTCCAATTTTCTCACCTGTTCAAAAAGGAAGCCACTGACCAAACTATTTTCTACTGTTACTAAAGGAATTATTTATAAATAAATGCCTATGGGAACACTTAGTACTTAGCTATACAAAGGCCTATGAGATGTCACTGAATTCCATACATCATCATATTTGTAACTATATAGATTTCATTGTATTAATGTCACAAATTTATTGAGGCTGCTTATGATTATTTATGAATAAACACCTGACTTAAAATAAAAAATTTAAGTGAATAAACTTTATTATCCATGTTTTCAAAAATTACTACTCCAGCCCTAACTGCTTTGGCTCAGTGGATAGAGCGTCAGCTTGTGGAATGAAAGGTCCCAGGTTCGATTCCGGTCAAGGGCATGTACCTTGGTTGCAGGCACATCCCCAGGTGGGGGTGTACAGGAGGCAGCTAGCTGATCGATGTTTCTCTCTCATCTATATTTCTAACTCTCTATCCCTCTCCCTTCCTCTCTGTAAAAAATCAATAAAATATATTTAAAAAACAAATTACTATTCCAATTTCCCTTAAAATTAGAAAGAAGAATCCATATTATGTTTTAACAGTAACTACTCTCATACCAGGTTACCTTACATGTTAAGTATTATGAGCCTGTCTTAAAATTTTGCTTTAAATGCAGAGAATAATAAAGAGCCCTATATAATTAAGTTGTATTAATAAATATAATTCATAAACAGTCCTACAAATGAAATACTCAAGTACATTACTTATTTAAACTTCTAAAATACACAGATAAAAGCCAATTTAATCAACAAAAGTTCTGCATAAGAAAAGCTGTCCAAGTTCTCCACAAGAGTATTTCAACATAAAAAGAAATGCTTTCTACAGTCCTTGATTCTTTAGCTCTCCAGTATTGGTAACTAACTATACCTTCAGAAGATAAGGCAAGGCTATCTTACCCTAAAATGCAGAGCAACAATTACTTTCAACTGCCCTCCTCCCTTAAACACACCAGCTTCTCAAACAGATAAACCCATTTAACATCTCAAAACATCAAGCATTTTAAAAAGAGGTAAATAGCCGAAACCGGTTTGGCTCAGTGGTAGAGCGTCGGTCTGCGGACTGAAAGGTCCCAGGTTCGATTCCGGTCAAGGGCATGTACATTGGTTGCGGGGGCTCATGCCAGCTAGGGGGTGTGCAAGAGGAAGCTGGTCGATGTTTCTCTCTCATCGATGTTTCTAGCTCGCTCTCTCTCTCCCTTCCTCTCTGTAAAAAATCAATAAAATATATTAAAAAGAGGTAAATAAAGATGATTTTTTAAAAGAGAGGATAAGTATTACTCTTTTTATATATAATATTATACATCTATATGTTTCTAAACAAAATGCACTTCTAGCTCCAATAACATTTTAGGAATTAAGTGAATAGTGTCAGTTTTACCATTTACTGGCAAAAATGAGGTCTTAAGTTCAGACAGTTCCTTCACTTAATAAAAGCAAATAATAATATCCATCTCAGGGCAGGTTGAACAGATAAAAGAATGTAACCAGCCAGTGTTCCGGGTGGTAAGAGCATGAATCTGGAGGTCATGGTTCAACTCCTGGTTCAATTCCAGTTTAGGCACATACTCAGGTTTCAGACTCTGCCCCCAGTAGGGGGCATGTGGGAGGCAGCCAATCAATGATTCATTCTCACTGTTGATGTTTTTTCTCTCTCTTCCTCTCTAAACTCAATAGATATATATAAAAAGGTTTTCATAAAAAAACACAAAAAAGAATATAATACTAGAGCATCACACAAATGCATACTATCATAACTATTACAACTTTGCCAGAATATATTTTTAATAATCTATTATCAAGACTTAGTGGAATTTAGCCTGCAAGTTCATCAATACTCCCTTATGTCCTCTATCTATCAGCTTCATGCAAGGAATCCAAAACCACATTCCAAGGCCTACTGTTTTTCCTCAAGCTAGAGGATGAAGACTGGATGTATAGAAAGTTCAATACAAGACTTAGCCAAGCACCACCTGCAATCAGATACTTAATGCCTTTTAGCATCACTATATTTTAGCATCACTAGATAGTTACTCAATATTTAATATATTAGGTAACACATAGGGAGGGCAGTGATCTTAATGAAGACTCTGTGTAATCTGGAAGTTCTGAGTAGCATGGGGCTGAACCACACAGCTAAGCCAATAACTAGATGTGTAAATATTTGACAAGTCATATTGCTCCACTAAGCCCTATTCCTGCTTACCTAAAAAACAGTGAGCAACTTCTAAAAGATTAATTAAATGACCATTATTTTCTTAAGGATTTTTACGTTTGGAAGAAAACAGATGATTCCCTTAAAATAAAAACACAAACATCAATACTTGCAATAACAGAAGTGTATACATAGTTGTATAAAGGAAGTTAAACGGTGAGATGATTTCAGGCTTCCATGAGTGAAGTGAATTCTCTGAAGTATTCTAAAAAGTGGGAAGGGAAGGGAGGCTCTCCATCCCTGGAGAGGACCCTTTCCTTTCCCTTCCACCCCCTCCCCAGGCGTTTATAAAGTTGTATGCATCTTTGTGTGTGTGTCACGAGTCCAGCTTCAATTCATAGCCAATTTTATTTTATTTGATCCCCATTTATTTTCTTTTTATAATGGGTTATTTTGAAGCAAATTCCAGACATTGTATTTTATACATAAACTAGTGACCCAGTGCACAGATTCACGCACATTGAAAGGAAATTAATTAGAAGGTGGCCTGGTCACCCCTAACTGCCCTCCCCTGCTGGCCTGATCCCCCTAACTGCTCTCCCCTGCTGACCTGATTACCCTTAACCACCTCTGTCTTGGTCCCTGCCACTATGGCTTTGTTCAGTAGTATGTCTGGAAGATGTCCGGTCTAATTAGCATATTACCCTTTTATTAGTATAGACCAGTGATGGCTGCTAAAAAATTGAATAACTACAATAGATAAACCGTATTTTTTTTATTGCTGACCTTCATTTTTACTTAAAAAGTTATTATTTTTAATCCTCACCCAAAGATATTTTTCCCATTGATTTCTAGAGAGAATGGGAGGGAGGCGGGTGAGAGAGAAAGAAATATCTACATAAGAGAGACACATCAATTGGTTGCCTCCTGCACCGTGTCCCTACCAGGGCTGGGGAACTAGCAACAGAAGTGGCCTTGACTAGGAATCGAACCTGAGGGCCAATGCTCTAACAACTGAGCAAATGGCCAAGGCTACAGTGATTTTTTTTATTGATTTCAGAGAGAAAGGGAGAGGGAGAGAGAAACATCCATGATGAGAGAGAATCATTGATAGGCTGCCTTTTGCACGCCCACAACGCTCTATCCACTGAGCAAAACAGGCTAGGGCTATAGTGGCTTTTTAATTCACATTAACAAAAGATACTGTTAAGAGAAAGCCACAGACTTGGAGAAAATGTCTGCAATAAATATATCTGATAAAATCCCTGTATCCAGAATACACAATAAAGAACTTTTGAAGTTCAATGAGAAAATAAACCACCCAATTATAAATAAGCATAGCCCTAGATGGTTCTGCTCAGTGGGTAGAGAATCGGCCTA